GGTAATTGAAAGCGTATTAAAACATCGATTTTGACAAATCTTTCATATGATAAAAATCGAACTCGGAAGTGCTTAAATTGAAAGCGTATTCGTAAAGTTGTGCAGCAAAGGTAATGAGGAAATAAAGCACGTAAGAAGGTTTGCAGCAATGTAAATAGCAATAATGAAATGCAAACCAGAGATCACGTCGATTTTAAAGTGGTTCGGTCAAATGACCTACATCCACTTGCGAGGCCCTCTTCGATGAGGCTCCCACCTTCCACTAGCAAATCTCTTGAAGGGGAAGGGCAAATACCCCTCTTACAACTCTTTACAAGCGGTTCACACTCTAGCAAATTGAAAACAAGACTTGCTACGACTTTTCTAAGACATTTCTCTCAATCAATTGCTTCTCAAAAAGTTGTAATCTCAATTGAGATGTGAGGGGTATTTATAGGCCTCAAGAGGATTCAAATTTGGGCTCCAAAATTTGAATTCTCTTTGGTTCCCGATGTTGGTGGTGCCACCGCCTGTCAGTGTCTGACACTGACAGTGGACTAGCGGTGCCACCGCCTGGCTCTCGGGTGCTGGGCGGTGCCACCGCCAGACCCTTCGGTTCACAAGTTAGGCTTTAATTTCAGCCCAAACCAAGTCTAATTTTGGGCCCAATTGGCCCATAACCAGGATATAGGATTACCTTTTAATCCTAATCCTAATTACATGTGAACTACATAACTAAAAACATCCTAAGCAAGTTTTCAACGTCGAGTCTTATTTCGGCAAGCTTTCCGATGAACTTCCGATGGACTTCCGATATGCTCTCGGATTTCTTCCGACAGACTCCCAGCAGCCTCCCGATCTTGTGAAGACTTCAACGAGTAGCCGAGCATTCTCGGTGATCTCCGCGAACCTTCGACGATCTCTTCGGCGAACTTTCGAAAATTCCGACAAGTTCCCGATTTCTTCTCGGTTGGTTCTGGTAGCATCTCTGACGATTCTTCGGACTCTTAAACGTCCATCGAACTTGACTCCGGTATTCTTGCTTTATGTTTTCTGGTTATCATAGTTAATCTTGGACACTTAACTCAATAATATGGATTAGATCAATTAACCCATCAATTAATTTTATTATCAAAATCCGAGATTCAACATAAATACCTACAAAACATGATGGACTTATTTATCAAATATCATAAATAAAATATTATATTAAAAGTTATAATATGTACAATCATAAATTATTATGTGTCTAATGTATAGGTTAGTGATGACAAGTCTAACTTCATTTGGATATGGCACTAAAGCATTTAGGTTGAAGTTTTATACATGATCTTATCCTCCAAGAGATTTTTATACATATTTGGATTAAAATCAATAGTTCAACAATAATATCATGGGCATAAAATGTATTACGATCTATATCTTTTTTTATTTCTTTTGTTGTTCTCTACTCAGCTCACTTTTCCTCAAATATCTTATAACTATTTTTATTTTCATCGGTTACAAATATTTTATTTAATTCAAATCAAAGTTGCAAGACTAAGATTATGCAAAAGAAAATCCTTCAATTAGCTCTTGTAACTCATGATTACTTCCCAAAATAAAGTTTGATTTATGAAGTTGTGCAGAGGTAGATCTTTCAGCTTGGTTTGGTATCAGATGACTATTTCAAGATCACTTTTGATTCCGATAGAGACAAAGGTAGCTTTTCATCGAAAGTGTCGTATCTCATTTAGAAGACTAAATATATCATTCAAAAGAGGATCATCTATCATAAATAGCTTATACTTATATGATATTCAAAATTAATAATACAAAATTATAAAGATGCATTCATTTAATACTATATTTTTTGTTGTTATAGTGAAATGATTCAACGAAACACCGAATGATAGGCCAATGCAGTCAACACTTTAGCGACACTACGAAGGACGAGGCTTCAACGACACTATAAATGCTTCACCAATATAATAGTAAATCACGTAGCGATTCAACGAGGTTGCACAAAGCTAAATGAGGCTACAGCGATGAACCATTGATCATTGAGGCTTTGTAAGGCTTCATTAAAGGCAACGACAACCGAAAGAAATAAGAACATCGACGATGGCCACCTCTTGGGACATTAGCGATGATGGCTACTTCATTGCTTCATTGGTAATTGAGGCTCAATAAATGGTTTTGTTGATAGCGATGGACACCAATGGGAAGGGGAACATCAATGTTGGCAACCGTTCATCATTGAGGCTCACCTAGTGCCCATGATTACATGACTAGTTGGTGATGGCTTGGTTGCCCTATTGATCACCGAGGCTCAATGCTCAACTAGTGGCCACGATGACTAGTGGGCGGGCCAATATACTGTTGACGGGAAGGTGATGATGACTTCTTATACCATTGACGATGACGACCATGACCATCATGATAACCTCCTATAACAGTGGCAAGACAAGAAGCCAATGACAATAACACCACCATCGACACTAAGCAGTGACTCTCCTCTCCTCTCCAATAATGAAGACCTCCTGTGGCTTTGGCTAGGGCTAGGGTTCATGCTAGGTTAGTCTAGGATGGAGTTCCTATTGGCGATGGCAATAACGATGGCCTCTAATGTCAAGAAGATTGACAATAATGATCTTCTTCAATGTTGCTATTGTATTCTCAAATGGGGGTAGCACAAAATAATTTAGGGAAAAAAAGAAAGACAATATAAACCTTAAAATGAATAAATCAAATACTTATGTTTTTATTGAACTAGTTTGGGTAAGTTCATATCAAACAAACTGGTTCAGCCCAAAGACATAGAGTCAACCAAGGTTAATCGTCATTGATCATTTTTTAATTTTATAAAGGATATTTTGATCATAATATAAAAAAAAGAGTTTTCTTAGTAAAAATAAAATATTATAGTATCATATGCTAAAATCTTATTATTGAAGGTTTTTTAAATAAATTATCTTATGAATTAATTCAAGTTCTTATCACTTCTAATATGAAACTACAATGTGGTGTTATCATAATTTGGCACAGGATCAATTTAAATTTTAATTGTATATCATGAAACAATCATCCAAATCTTATCACAATCCTTAGTGAGCGTCAATAAGTAAAATATAAAACATATTAAACAACTTCTATAATAATCAATGATTCTATAATCTAGTGTGATATTGTTCTCGGGCAGTCTATATCCATCAAGGCGCGCCCCGCCGTCACTTTCACCACCTGCTATAACTTACCCACTTGATTACCCACGAGGAGGGATCGGCGCTTGCACGAGGGACCCACATAGATAACAGTACACGTGATCCAGAACTTGACCTTTCGGTCGAGTCCGCGCGATCACATCGTCTTTCCAAGCTGGGTTGCGATGCTCCGGAGAAATCTGCTGTAAGATCCAAAGTAGATTTGTGTTCCCAGAATTGGAAGAAGAAGAACACATATTTCTCTCTTTTTTATTTTTCGCATTTACATGCTTATTTAAGAGTATTGGCTTGGAGAAATTTCACGAAGAAAAATAAGTCATTTAGCTAAAAATTCATGTCTTTGGCTTTTGCTTCTTGTTCTTAACAAGCATTGATTTGTATCTCTTCTGGTGCAGCAATCAAAATAGATTGCAAAAATGCCATCATAGATTCTATAGCAGGTGAATATCTTCTTCCTCAAGCATGGAATAAAGTGAGCCACTGAAGAAAGAATGGATTATTCGCATAGCCTGCCATGGTTCCTTCCACAACAAAGATGCTCTCAAGGTTTCAGACTTCAATTGGGAACTACAGCAATTGCCTTCCCTTCCCTCTATTTATCCCTCTCTGAAACTTCTCTCCTTAATCATCTGCAGTTGTAACACAAAGCCATGGGTTGCTGCACACCAAGGACCTCCTCTCCAACAAGGCGAAGCAACCGCAGAGAAGATCTGCTTCTCCAAATCCCAGGTGCTTCGGTCTACTTAATGGAAGATGGAGGAGATGCACCGGTTGAGCTTGCCAAGGGGGACTTCACCGTTCTCAGGATCACAGAAGATGACATGGTGTTAGCAACAGTGGTGAGAGTTGGAGCTGATCTCCGATGGCCCTTGACGAAGGATGAGCCTGTCATCAAGCTCGACCTTCTCCATTACCTCTTTACCTTGCCTTGCAAAGATGGTGGGTTCTTAAACTACGGGGTTTCCTTTGCTGCTCCACATGGAGGCTTGGCTTCTCTGGAAATGTTCCTCAAGGAGAACGCATGTTTCTCTGCTCCTTCGGATGCTTCGTCCTCGTTGAAGAGGAACTCCTCTTATGAGGTTTACTGGAAGGATTACACGCCAAGAATTGAGGACTATAATGGAGTTTTGGCCAAGGCCATTGCAGGAGGGACTGGAGAGATTGTGAAAGGGATATTTAAGTGCAGCAATGCATACACCAGTCAGGTTCGAGTCACTCCTCAACATTCCTCAACATTACAGGGACACTGACCTACAAAATTGTTGCAGGTTCAAAAGGGAGCCACTCTGCTTCAGCCTCAAGATGCAGCAAGCAACACCAATGCATCTGCTGGGAGGAATAAAAGTGACAACAGATCTGAGTCGATGAAGAAGAGTGGCGAAATCAATAAGGCCATCCGAAGGTAATTCGAAAAAAAACTAAGAAGGTAATGACAGCAAGTGTTCGACAAATGACTTGTGGTTGTTCTCAGGGTGAGGAAGCTGTCGGAGATGACAGAGAAGATGAGCAGGACATTGCTTGATGGTGTTGTTCTGGTGACCAGCTCTGTGTCAGTGCCCCTGGTTCGATCCAAAGCTGGGAAATCTCTGCTGGCTACAATACCAGGAGAGGTTCTTCTGGCCTCACTTGATGCAATTAGTGAGTGATGCATTCAGAAAAGTTCGATCCAAGTTTTCTTGGTCTTACACATGGCTTTTGGGGTGCAGACAAAGTTCTTGATGCAGTAGAGGCTGCTGAAAGAAGCACTCTTGCTGCCACTTCAAATGTGGTCTCGGGAGCCGTATCCAAGAGGTAAGAGCCAAGAATTCCTCACCCAGACAGTAACTGACTGCACTAGCATGTGGAAGAGAGCTTGGAGCTCATTCTTTCTTGTCATAATGAGAAGGGTTCCAATGACATATTCTACCTCTTTACTTTGTTTCTTTATCATGCTTCTTAGTTGATTTCTACTGTTTCTAAGAAACAATGCTTGATGTTCACTGAGGGTGACAGGTTTGGGGAGAGTGCAGGAGAAGCAACAGACGATGTGTTTGCAACCGCAGGCCATGCAATTGGAACTGCATGGAACCTATTCAAGATCAGGAAGGCCATTAGTCCTTCTTCCTCTCTCCAGTCATCAATACTCAAGACTGCAGTCAGGAAGAAGTGACTGCTGTATCAAGCAGAGATGAAGCTAGTATCACCAGGTGATTAGATTGCAGTATGGAATGGAAATGGAACTTCACTATTGAATGTATGATTGTGAAGAAGAAAGTTATACTGCTGTATATAAAGTGGTAACAAGGTTTCGATAATACCAGCATATTATAATTGAAATGTATATAATTGTAAGTTCATATTGGCTGCCAGAATTTGCTCTTCTACATCTGTAATTTGTTGAGGAATATTGATAACCAATTATCATTCAACGAGCAATCTATGGTGTCCAAGCTAGAAAGGGGAGACGAGACCTGCCCCTTTGAATTGTCTATGCAGATATACATCCAGATAGTTGTAGGTTACCTCCTCTCTTTGTCAGCTACGTGGACAAAGGGACAAAGGTAAGATGTTGGAAGCACTTAAGGGCTACCTTCCCGTAGTATATTCTGCCTCTCTACCACTCTTCTATAATTAGGTGTAAAATCTTACTTTTAGCACATTTACATGAGGGATCATTTTTCACCACTAGTGTTCATATACATCTACCTCAGGTTATTAACTTGGTTATCGAAGGGATCGAATTGAGAAATCTCTTCCGTCCTCAATCTTCATACAAGTGACACCTTAGTAACACCTTAGAAGGATGTTTTCACCTTAGAGACACCTTGGACAATCCTGCACACATGGGTTTGGATCACATTGGGCTGACTATAACATTAAGAACATGAACACTTGCTTGCTGATCCTCCTAATAAATGCTTGAGTAAAGAGACTTTGCCCCTGACCTTAATACTTTCACCCAAGAGAGACAACAACTATTCCTTTCATATATCGGTGTATCCACCTCGACGCAAACACTAATAAAATATTAATGCATATTCAATAACCCAAGTCTGTCACCTATAAGAATGGCCCGGAGCCACTTACTTGTCCCTTTTAAGGTGCTATTCAATCTCACTTAACAAGTGTAGATGTTAACAGGTATGATAGATAGAGGCTATCACTTTGCTTTTGCCTCAGACCTAACAAGTAGTACCTCTAACTCAATTGTAGTCATTTGCTCCACTACCATCGACATTTGTCGATTTTCCCTAACCCGACTGTTAGGATCGGAGCGGCACTAAGGGGGGGGGGGGGTGAATTAGTGCAGCGGATTAAAACGTCAGTTTTGACAAATCTTTCGTACGATAAAAATCGAACTCAGAAGTGCTTAACTTGAAAGCGTATTCGTAAAGTTATGCAGCAAAGGTAACGGGGAAATAAAGCATGTAAGAAGGTTTGCAGTAATGTAAATAGCAATAATGAAATGCAAACTAAAGATCACGTCGATTTTAAAGTGGTTTGGTCAAATGACCTACATCCACCTGCGAGGCCCTCTTCGATGAGGCTCCCACCTTCCACTAGCAAATCTCTTAAAGGGGAAGGGCAAATACCCCTTTTACAACTTTTTACAAGCGGTTCACACTCTTAGAAATTTTCAGCAAGAAAGAAGTAGGTGAACACTCTAGCAAATTGAAAACAAGACTCGCTAAGACTTTTCTAAAACCTTTCTCTCAATCAATTGCTTCTCAAAAAGTTGTAATCTCATCTGAGATTTGAGGGCTATTTATAGGCCTCAAGAGG